ACTCAGAGGGATACTGGAGCTTACTTGAAGGGCTAGAGGCTGTGGTATACATTGCTTTCCAACTTCATTCAATGACATCAGGTTGTGGCTGGAAACCTAACAGGCTGATAATATTTACCCAAAGGAAATGAGGAAATGCAACAAATCAGGGCTTTAATTTCTTTTCTCCTTCTCCTTCTTCTTATTTTTGGAAGGCTAGTTTACCAGCACCACCAGTTCTCCTCTCCTCAACAGAATGTTATATGACAGCAGTGTTGTTTGTTTTTGTTTGTTTGTTGCTATTTTCCCAGTGCCTAGAACAGTGCCTGACCAAAAAAAAAAAAAAAAAAAAAAAAAAAAAAAGGCACTCAGTGACTATTTGTGAAATCAATAAAGGATGAAATTTAAAAGCCATCATTTTCATATTGTCCTTAGGAAAAAAACTGATCAAATTTTAAAATTTAATTTTTCTCTAACCTACCTTATGTGATTCCAGTGATACTATATACTGCCTAGAATTTAACTGTAACCTGGATATTTATAAGCAATCTGCAAATTAACATCACACATCTGAAATAAATTGTCCCTTTACCAATAGAATGAATGAACGGTCAGCTAAGCACATGAAGAAGTGTCCTTTGCACAAAACACAGTTTGAAAATAAAACTATAGAAATATCTTTCAGTGATATTGCTGCATGCATTATCGAGAGTTGAATGTTGGCAGCACAGAGTTTCATATACTAAAACCTGGGAGAGCCTCTAGCAATGGAGTCGCTCCCTCTGGGTCCAAAGCAATCCTAGAACTGTTTCCAAGAAGCCATGCGCAGAGTTTGACATGTCTTTCTTCCTTCCTTCCTTTCCTTTTTGTTTGTTTATTTGTTTGTTGCTATAGCACCTTACCTTGGTTAGAATGTGACCTGACTTTTTTTTTTTAAGTTCACCTAATTTCTATGACCAAGGTAAGAAGTTTTGGGTTATATAAACCTGCTGGACATCAACTTTATAATCTGTGAAATGGAGCACCTTGGCTTAACTAACTTCTCATTTTCGTTGGAATCAAGGGTTAACAAAACCTTATATACCTGAAGTCATGTGCCCCTACTTACCCAATTTCAAAGATAAGGAAGTAGAGGCACAGACAGAAAGAAAAACTTCCTTAAGCTAGTTTATGGCAGAGCTGGCACTAAACCCATATCTCGCCTTTTCTAGTCCCATCTACTTTTCACTACACCTAAGGATGAAATACTTCCTCAGAATCTTGAGAATAAGGAAATTATCTTTTTGAGTAGAATCTCTGAAACCTTTCTGACATAGCCCATAGTAAAAAATACTCTTTATGTTGCGACCCAGAACTCAAACTTGCTCTGTATAACACACTGATATTTTTCATTCTCATTAGGCCTGTTTCATTTTATTAATTCTACACATGAGCCAATAAATTGATTTGTGGGGGTCAGGAATCACTAGTAGATCAGAGACCACAGTGATAAACACTCTTTATAAAAGCAAAGATTCTTTTAAAATGAAGATCCAGAGGATACATGTCTATAGCATAGACAAGATGAATATACCAAAGCACCTTGCACTTTACATGTGCTTCAAAATCCAGGAGGGAGGATGGGAGACAGCAAGAAAGGAAACATAAATACATTTTAGATTTCAAAGGATACGATTTTTTTTTTTAACTTTTAGCTTTTACATTGAATAAAAATCTCCCAGTTTCTCTCTCTCTTTTTTTTTAATTTAAGAAATTTAAAAACTGGTCATTTGAACAAAGGCTGTACACCAAAAAGCATATCTGGAATTATACATATTGTATTGAGAATCGGCATTTAAAATTCATTAACAGAGTAACACATAGAAGCTTTTCCATTTCTTACAAATGCCATTTCAAATCACAGCAGGCAAAGAAAACAGTTCATCTTCAACTAGATTGTGAATTTTTTATGTAATGAGATGCTGTGAAACACAAAAATAATATGAATACACAGATAAATATTTGTGGGGTGGCTGGGTATTTTGATAAATAATATCTGCTCCACAAATGTTCTTCCTTTATGGTCTATAAACGCCCCCAGAAAGTCTTCCACTCAATCCATCTTCATGTTACGCTGCCTTTCTGTCCTAACTTTTCAAGCTTTTTTCATTCCATACTGGTATCTATACATTTTTCAATCTCCTACTCTTAGTCCTGCTGTTTCATTCTGTGGTCTCAATGGTCTTCTCTTATTTAGTTTTCCTCTTCCCTGCCATGTGCCTCCTTCTATGAGGTGGTTATAAGGAAATCATTCTGGAATACTAGAGAGGAAGCTAGTCTCTCTTTTGGTTCCTGCCATATGGAAGTTCTCTGGGATCTGCCAGGGATGGCATGCAGAGGATGGACCCCGGGGGTCCTGAGGAAAGAAGGGGATCTCTTCCAGCACCTTGGAAGCAAGACTGGTGAGAGAAAGAGGCTCCTATTCCTTTGTGACATTTGTTGAACAGCTGAATGAGACTTTACCTGAACTAAGCACTTCCATTGAAATTTTCAATGCATTCCAATCATTTTTAATAAATTATATTTATATTTACTCAGTTAAACTAGGGTTTTCTTTTTATAACTTAAAAAATTTTTAAACTGATATGATTATCAACTTCTTTCTCGCCTATTAATCCACGAAGCCCCTTTCAGTCAAGCTCCTTGTCTAATCTCTCTTTTCAAATAATTTCCAAATTAAATGAACAAAATGAAAACCAACTACCTGCAAATCTGACAGGAAATTTTTCATAATTATAAATACAAAAATAACGATGATGATACCAACAATAGTGGTTAATATTTAGTGAGTGCTTATTATATAACAGTGATAAATTAAAGCAGTGATGCTCAAATTTTGCTGCAAATTTACTTTTCAAAAGGTAAATGTGGCATGTCCGTGCCACACTTATAGCAATTAGATTCCTGTGGCACCAGAATCTCTGGGAATAGTGAACAGACATAAGCATTTTTTAAAGCTCTTCAGGTGATTCCACAAGCAGTTAAATTTGAGAACTCCTCTGCTAAAGATTGGCTAATGAATTATTTTATTAATTCCTATAGCAATGATGTGATGTACTCATTCATCACCATTATTATTATTTAGTGGTAGTAGTAGTAATAGTAGTAGTAGTGGTAGTAGTAGTAGCATCACCACTCAGCCAATGAGGAAGAAATCTGAGTCTCAGAAGTTCGCACACATAATATGCTACAGAACCCAGTTTTGAAAATATTAAAGTAAATTGAGGTTCTTGAACACCAGCAAGGAACAGAAGGGGGAAAAAGCCAAGAACATAGATAATCCACAAAGAAAGCAATCTCTGGTTTAAAAAAAAAAAAAGTAAAAGCCAGAGAATTCTGAGTATATAAGTCTGTCCTCAAGAGAAGCATTTTAGGATCTAATAGTGGTTTATCAGCTGAGCACAGTACAGTCCCCAGTTCTGTTCATTTATCACCATTCCATAGACATTTATCAAACTGCATCCATAAATGAAACACATAACTGATAAGCAGGCTGTGTATTGCAGTCAAAAAGAAAATTCAAGCCTGAAAAAAACTCTCCATGTACAGAGAAAATGAATGACTCACAATGCCTGAGAATAAAGGGAGGTCTGGTATAGTGTAGGCAAAAGTCTTTAACAAATATTGATAATGAAATTTCAAGTTAGGATGATAAACTTGGCATTAAAAGGCAAACTTTAGCACTATGTTATCGATATACTTCTTGAAACATGAAACTTGGCTCAAATACTGTTGAGAGAAGAATAAAATATTCTTTCCTACACCAAAAACTGTGAATAATTTTGATTCCTCAACAAAGCATTAATAATGATAAGCTTGATAAGAAATTGAAAAACCAATCTATTAAAATTCCATTATATTGAGATTAATGTAAATAATAGACTGCTTTCACATAAAACACCTATAATAATCTTCTTGAAAATAATTTTGATTTTTCTTTTTCTTTTTAACATTATCCTGTATATCATTTTAACTCCTTCAGCAATAAAAGCAGTATTTGGGTGTTTGCTCTACTGCTGAATTTGCCCAACAATGACTGCACTGTTATGTATCTGAAAAATAATAATTCCGGATGACTTTTTTCTTCCTGCATCTCCACAGCAACCGATAATCTTTGATGTCAAAGAAAGTATTTTGACTCTTAAAGAATAAAACAAAAGTTGCAGGCAGATACTCAAAAGAAAATCACTAGTTTTATATCAATTACGAAAAGAGGAAAGAGCTCCTGCATGGCGCCTATACTTCCCTATTTGCTAATATTCCCTGCTAAAAGGAAGTATTTAAAGTACTAAATTTTAAAAACAATAGAGAGTAATTTCCCACATCCTGCTACTATATATCTCCGATAATCTAAGTTAAAAAATATATGCACGTCCCTTATTAAACATTTTTAAACAATCTTCAAAAAACAAGCTGCAAACATTGCTTTGAATATTTCTTCAGTAAAATTTCCAAACCAAAGCAAACTGACATTCCACACAACTGATTCCAAAGTCTCCCAGTCTTCACTAGTAACATGTGTAAAAACAAGTCTTATACCATTTTGGCTTCATGGATGGAACAATTTCAATTGCAAAGCATTTGAGGGTTAGGGTCTTGTTTATCACATCCAAAAGGTTAATACATGTATGCTTATGAGACTCAATGATTTTGCAAATAATTTCAAGCAAATTTTAACAATTTAGAATTATCCAATAACTTTAGCATTGTTGTTTTTTTTTTTCCCAAACAAAAATAAAATCAGAGGGCATAACGCAAGCCCTTATATCCAACTGCCTATATATTTATTTGTTCATTGTTTCAGTCTTTTAACAAAAGTGGAAGTGTTCAAGGCATACTGGCTTCTGGAAGGACTGGCTGTTTTATTGTGTTTTACAACATCTACAACAGAGAAATTTTAATTGGGGGCAATTAATTGATACCATGACACAGCTAAATAATCAAGGCAGCATCTGGTGCAGGCACAATGCTCTGCTTCCTACCTTGGGAGCTCTGGCATGTTTCCCACACCTGGCATCCTTGACAAGGCTGAGATCTAATAGTTCCGTCTCCTGGAAGGCAAAAACATAAAATTGTTAAGCATCTACACAGATCTCTCTTCTCTGTTTTAAACTGTTGACATCACTTTTAAAAATAATATTATCTTAAGACCTGCCTGAAGATTTCTCTGCAGTTGGGACATTTTTCCTCTTACATCATTGATTAATTGAACTGGAATAAATAAAAAAAAATAGCAGACTGCTAAATTCTCAGTTTAATCTATATTCTAACACATTTCATAAGTAGTATAATATGTGTGGTTTGGGTCCCCAGTCTATCCTACAAGCCATTCTTAAGTCATGATAAAGCAGGCCTTCCTGCTCACCTGCTGAAAACAGTCCTGAGAATCAATCTGGGTGTAAGTAAGGTTATGTGAGTGCAGGTGGGAGATCAGGGAGAAAGGGTAGAAGGTGTTGCTATCAGCTCATAGAATACCCAGCTCACCTGGCCAAAGTAAAGAGAAGGATCTGCCTCCCCTACTCACCCCCCACCCAAGCCTTTTACACACATACCTTATACTCTGATCTTTTCATTTATTCATAATACAGTTTTGAACAACTGTAATACGCAAGTTACTCTAGGGTAGAAGAAACATAAAATATGATTGCTTCTCTGGATGAATTTGCCATCGAATAGGAGACTAAGAAATGTATATGTGTAAGACTAGAGAGTGTTAATGCCAAATTTAAAGTTAACTTCTATGGGGATTAACAGAGAAAAGAGAGTTTTTCCCCTAGGGGCTCAGAGAAAAGTCCACGGAGAAATCACTGAGCATGGAGAAAACAAGTGGAGAGGGAGGGGGCTCATCCCCAGTTGGAGAGCACAACATAAGCAAATATTCAGAAAAAAACGGACCAGAGGTTTGGATAGAACCTTGAGGTATTCGTGGCCATTAGATGCTTAGAGAAGGAGAACATTGCAAGAGAAGGGGGTAGGGAGGAAAAGAGTAGGGAGGCACCCAGGAGTAAGAAACAGCACAAGAAAAGGCATAATAGCAGCTCAAAAGGGGACTTTCACGGGCAGCATTCAGTATTCCATTGCTGGAGCACAGAACATACAAAGAAAAGTCATGGGAGATATGGGTGAAAGGATGGAAACCCTGAAAGTCAGGCTTAGGACATTGAGCCATCACACACATCACGGAGTGAACTCTATCACCAGCCAGATGGGACTATGGGACAATGAGCAAAGTCATCTTAAAGTGACTATGATTTCTAGACAATGTGTGAATGAATAAAAGCATCTAGTCTCCTCCCAGCAGGAGGCATTACATCATAATTCAGCCACTCATAGACCCTCTGGACAGGAATGGCTATCTCTAACTTCTCATAGGTCCCAATGTCCCCAAATACTGGCAGCTAGGGTTCCCAGACAACTTCAAAAACTGCCACCAATTTCAAATGTTTGGTGCAAAATGGTCTGATTATTTTCCTGTGCCTAAGGTTGATTGCAGTACAATAATGGTCAAATAGGATGTGATGTCCCTCCACTGCGATGCAAACCCACACAGCAGGTCCAACGGAACCTCTTGGTGGGCTGAAGGAAGCACAGGAAACAGTGCCTTTTCTTCATTTGCTCATCATGGCCTTGTAAGTTAGCTTTTCCCCATTTTAGCAGATTCTTTAACCCATCGCCTCTTGTATGTGACTATGTGGAAATCTTCCCAAACCCCAGGGTGAGAAAGGCAGCAACCTAGCAAGGACCTTGCAAGACAGAGTAACTGGTACCATGGTTCCCCTAAGGCCACACTTTTTACAGTCACTTATGAGAAAAGACTATCAACCGCAGGACTCAATACTTCACCTAGGCAAATGCATAATAAAGCCCTTAGATATGAGAAGGTGGAGCATCTGGCCCCGGTCTCTTTACCTCCACATCAACGACAACCAAAAAGATTGTCGGAAGAGGAGAAACAGGAGGAGAACCAAGCTTGAAGAAGCTTAATCTAGAAGATCATGACCAAATGGAAACTTGAGACAGAAGAGACCAAATGAAGGCATGGTGTGAGGAGAAAGAAAGATGGCTGCCCTCAAGCGCCCTCCGGACACCCTTAGCAACTTCCCAGCTGAAGTGAGTCAGCACTTCCCTTATGTAACCACATGCGGGTACGCATGTGCGGGCTTCTGGCAGCGTGCCACTATTGTTAACCTGTGTATAAATGGCGCCTCCACCCTGAGGCTGGCTGTGACCTTGCTGGAATAAAGAGCTATGTCGCAGTTGACTATGGCTCCCTGCATTTTCTTCCAATTGCCAGAGTCTCGTATCCCTTACCTCCGTACCCCGAATCTGCAGTAGCACACAGGGGTGTTAGAAAGATGAGAGTCATAATATGGTGGCAGAATTGAGGAAAGGAAAGAGAGGAGCCATAAACAACTCTAGGATTTCCATGTTCCTCATTGAGACTCAGAAGTTTGGGCAAAATAATAGTGCATTATGGAGATGCTAGTTTGAGAGGTTTGTCCAAGTAGAAATGCCACTTATTAATTCACTTGAGCATTATTTACTGAATGCTGCAATGTGTCAGGTATGGGCTAGTTACTGAGAAAAGACACCAAAAATACAAAGGTCAAATAACTGCTTTAAGGAGTGCATGCACCAAACTAATTATTATACTCTGAAAGGAGACATCTCAAAGTACACTGCAGACGTGGGCTACAACGGGCTCTGGCATCTTTTCAGCCAATCCATAAGAATTAGAAGGAGTTTGCCAGCCTTATAATTCTGTGTGTTTGTGGGTGGGGAGTGTCCAGGGAGAAGAAACAGAACATGCAAATGCACAGAAGCAGGAATCGTGTGCCAAAAACTACAAGTCAGTATACACAGCGGAGGTACATGGAGAGTTAACACAATCACTCCTGGACTAAGCAGTTGTTTCGTGCCCATCCTCTTTACGATTATTCATAAAACACTGACATTTATGTTTGATGCACTTTTCATATATATTGCATGATGTTTTTACATATATGTAAAATAAAAATCACACAGAAACAATGCACTTACCTAATTTTATAACAACATTTTCTATTCAAGGAAATTCCTCCCAGTTGAACAAATAATAGACTTAAGCTTTACTTGTTTGTTTATACACATAAAGCCCAAATTGAGTTCATGTAGAACTAGATCTTAGCAGGCATCATTATATAGACTTTTATATTACAGATAATGAATGCTGTTTTCTACTTTCAGCTCAAGAGGAAATGTTCATTCCCCAAGTCACAGAGGGGTAGTTAATGCCAGCTGCCCTGGGGATTCATTTCAATACCAGAGCGACTAAGAAACTCTCACCAGCGTGTAAAATTGTGTGTGCAGGAAAACCACCGCAGGGCACTATCAGTGTGGGTAATGTGGCATGGGAAAGACCCAGGTGGAAAATCTGTCCACGGACTCCTTCAGCTAGAAAGTGATGATTAAAATAGTGTTTCCCACTTCCATTATCATGCAATAGCCACCCTGCTTGGATTTAACTACATCCTATTCTCTCCTCCACTAAAAAGAAAATGAGGAACCTAATGCACAGGACCACAACAATGTTACTTGTGTCATTAAAACTTTTTCTAGGTTAATTTTCTTGTACTAATAGTTTTAACAGCCCACTCTCATTATTAGAAAGCAGTGAAACAGTCCGTTTCTCAATCCATTTAAGAGTTGCTGTTTTCCAGCTTTGAGAGAGAGAGGTCACATGATTTTTAAGGAAAAACCTGGGTCTGGTTAAAGGCCCTAAAACTAACCAGTCACATATTTGGCCAAGAATTATACCATGCTGAGCATCAATTTTTATCATCTATAAAATGAATATGATAATAGCTTGTACACCAGTATCTCTCAAACCTTAGCCTGCATTACAGCCACTTGGATGACTTGTTAAGACACAGATTGGCTGGGGAACATCCATCAGAGTTTCTGGTTCACTGAGACCGGGAAATGTCTGAGAATCTGCATCTCTAGTAAGCTCTCAGATGATTCTGATGCTGCTGGTCCATGAACCACACTTTGACAAATGCTAATATATACTCATTCGTAGGGTTGTTATTATAAGGCTTTTGAGTGAACAGGACTGATAAAACTATATATTACTTGCACCTTGTATAAGAATCTATATCTGTCATTTCTTTACACAGAGAACTGTCAAATAAAAATATTATACCTACTGAATGCAAAAGTGTGCCTAATGGTAAGTAATATAAACTCAATTTCATTTAATTGAAGAAAAACTATTGAATGATAAATGCCATCAACCCCTATTCTAACAAGTGACCTTAGCATAAAATTTTACTCTATACAAGTAAATGTCTCTAATTATTCAGAAATTTAAGCAACTATAGAAATCATTTTATTTTTGCTGAAAATGCCATATAACTTTGTGTTTCACTTCATAACATCTTTAGAAAAGTGAAAGAAGGAAATTTTTGGTTCTCTCTCACCTCTTAGCTCATCTAACAATGGGAAGGGTACTGGGGTCCCCAAAGGCCTCTGGGCTATGTGGACCAGTAAAAGAACAATGAACTAACAGACTCCCTTTATTTTCAAGGCATGCAATGGACTCCTGAGGAGATCACACCCCTAGGATCCTCAAAATGTCAACTGAAGTGTGGATGAATGTGACTTCTCCCTTTGTCAGTATGGATAAAAGTGAATTAACAGTAATCAAGAATTTATTTGTGATATTTTGAATGAATGATGAGAGAACTGAGATAAGCAGGCTAAGGAAAGACTAAATTGTCTCTGATGTTTACTATTCAGCAGAAAGATTTCAATCCATCAACCACAAACACACTGCGAGGTAGATGAGCCATGAAATGCACTGCAAACTCAGGAAGGAACACAATTTAAAACACAAGTCTTTTCCAGAATACCAATTTCTGTGCTTTGTCACTAAATTCCATTAGTCACCCAGTATAATAATGTGCTTCAAGTTCACACAATATATAATCAGAGCAGCAATTACAGTCATAAACATTTCACAGGGAAGATATTAATGGCTGAGTATGTGTGGGGGGTGATTATGTATATC